GAGCATATGAACCCCGAAAGTTACTTGCTAGGTCTGACACGGAGAATAAATTCTCACGAAGACGTCGCTTTCACTCTCACTTAAAAGGGACAAACTCAATTATAGAGCTTTATGTTATGCAATGCAAGTGTTGTGTGTGAGGAGAAATGTTCAAACCTCTAACAAATAAATAATAAAATTTAATATTTTGAATATAAAGCATTAAATAACATATAAATATTATGAAAATAATAAGTATATATAAAAATTTTGAAAAGAAAGAATTAAAAATTAAATGTATGAATTTTTAATTTTTAATTAATAAAGACAATTTATAATTGATTTCAAAGCATGACTTGGTCCCCAGCGGAGTCGCCAAGCTGTCGTAACCGGTTTTCGTCCGGTCACGAAATATTTATTACTTGGCGGGAAAAATGATATGAATAAATGGTTTTGAAAATAATTTGGGAGTCGCCATCGGCCTTTTGGGTCAGGTAGGTCGAATACCTAAAAATTATCTTTTAACAGAGTTTTTAAGAAAACATCAGTTAAAAGACGAACTGATCTGCGTTTATAACCAAAAATTCGTTCTTTTTAATAATAAAAAGGGATTCGTGGTCGGTTACGTTTAAGGAAGGATTAGCACCCCTACAACGCCCAAAATTGGTACTTTTTAATTATAAATTGTCTCTATTATTGGAAATTTAAAAATTCAAAGATATATTTAATTCATAATTCTATTGTTTCAAATAATTTTAAGAAAATATATTAATATACATAAATAATATATTTACTTATTTAGAAATATCAGAAAAGGGCTTCTAGGTACTTTAAGACAGCTCTTTTCTTTAATATTTAAAAATAAATATCAAAAACCTTTTATTTTAATATAGTAAGATATTTATTTATTCAAAAATATCAGAAAAGAGCTTCTAGGTACCTTAAGACAACTTTTTTCTTTGATATTAAAAATAAATAAATATCAAAATATGATTATTTTTCTTAAAAGTAATTTATAAAATTAAATTTATAAATAGGAAAATAGAATAAATAAATAAATATTATATATATTTATAAGACTATATATATTGACATAATTAAAAAAAATAATAATAATAATAGTAATGATAATTAAATATATGAACATAATATATAAAGGTAACATATGATTAAATAATGTTTAAAATACAATTAAAACATGGTATGAAAAAAATAAAAAATAATAAAGCTTGTAAATGAAAATATTAAACTTAGGGACTAAATTATAATCTAATAAAATTAAATACCTAATTCATAATTAATTATTTAAAATTATAGGGATTAAACATGCTATTTTCCTTATTTATTAATTTGGTGACTAAAATATAATTATAAAAAATTTGAATAACAGATTAAAATAAATTAAAAATATATACTCGGGATTAAAATATGATTTATTAAATCTATAAATTAGAAAGGACTAAAATAAATAAATCTAAAATTAAAGAACCAAATTATAAAGATCTAAAATTGGGTTCAGTGACTAAAATATAAAGTTTACAAATTCAGAGGACTGCGGAAAGGATTTAACCTTTACTAAATTACACACAGGTCCTCCCTTAAACGACGCCGTTTAAGAGAGGGTATAAATACCCTAGGCTGGCTGGCCCGAAGGGCCAGCATCTCATTTCTCCTTTCTTTCTTCTCTCTCTCAAACTGAGAGAGAGATTTCTCTCTCGCCTCTCTCTAGGTTTCCCTCACCGGAGGGAAACTGGCAGCCATAGGCCACCGTACTCCGCCGCCGGCCAACCGCCACCGGCCACCGTAACGGTGGTCAGAATTCACCAAAAACACCCCCAAAGCGTAGATCTAAATGCCCTAAGACCGATTCCGGTCTTTGTTTTACCTAAAAGACTCCTAATCGGAGTAAATCTACGAAAATACCTTCGGTATTTTCTGTTCTCCGGCGATGTTTAGTGCTTCCGACGGTGGTCAAGGCTCCAAGGGTAAGTTTCTTTTCTTCTTTCTTTGTTTTCTATTTTTTTTTTCTGGTTGTTGGTTGCTGTTCGTATCTGTTGCCCTTCTTTTTATATTTTTTTTTCGTCTCTTTTCTCTGTTGCTGTCCGTTTGTGTTCTTCTCCTCCTCCTCCTTTTTTTCTTGCAGGGGACGGTGGCTTTTATAGCCACCACCGGTGATGGCTTCAGACCGGTCCAAAGGATGAAAGGCCCGGTGAGTCACCATAGCTATGGTGGTGACTCACCATAGGGCTCGACGTGGACGGCTGTTATTGTGGCAGCAGAGCTTCTGGAGTCTTCTGTTGGTGTCGTCGTGGTACTGGTGTGTCGACAATGGCGGTGGAGGCGTCGGCAGTGGGGCATTGGACCACCTGGCAGTGAAGCGGCGGTTGGAAGCTTGGAGATAGCTGAGGCGGCGCCGCGTGATTGCCCTAGGGTATCATACCCTAGGGTTTTTTTGTCTGGAAACATCAGGACCGTTGGATCTTGGTCAGATCCAACGGCTGTGAGCAATGGCGGCTGGGGCATGAGATGAGAAACCCTAGTTGGGTTTTAGGGTTTGTAAAATGGGCCTCCGGGTCCTTTGGGCTTGTAATAATTATTTAATAATAATATACTAATAATAATATTTAATAATAATAATAATAATAAATTTAATAATAATAATAAATTTAAATGAAAAAATGATGTCTACACGTGTCATGATTTAATGCATGAGTGATCGAAAGAGGAATAAATCAAAATTTTAATAATTAAATTAAAAAATGGTTAAGTACAGAAATGGTCCCCCCGACTATAAGATATTACTTTATTAAGTTCTTCGACTATTAAAAGTTATAAAATGATCCTTTGACTATAGAGTGTTACTTTGTTGAGTCCTCAACTATTAAAAGTTACAAAATGCTCACTTGACTATTCATTATGTTCCAAACTCGTTCTTTTCCGTTAAAAAATTAACGGCCGCCTGAGCTAGACATTAACATGTATACTAAGATATAATAGTCGTTTGAGATTATGAGATCATATTTTATCAAATATCATTCATCATATCAACGTCCAACTAAGATTTCCGTCAATTTTTTAACAAAAAAAGGACGAGTTTGGAACATAATGAATAGTCAAGTGAGCATTTTATAACTTTTAATAGTCGAGGGACTCAACAAAGCAACTCTCTATAATCAGGATACTATTTTATAACTTTTAATAGTCATTGGACTTAATAAAGTAGTATCTTATAGTTGATGGACCATTTGTGTACTTTACCCTTAAAAAATTAAGCTTTAGTGATTAAAACATGAATAAGGTCAAAGTTGAGTGATAAAAAATGTAACTTTATTTAACCAAAGATAGAACTATTCCTTTACCTTGCATCATTTCAATAGCTGTACATGTCCTTTACCTTGTATCATTTCAATAGTTGTACATGTCCCTTACTCATTGATACTAATGCTTGCTTTCAATGAGGGAAAGAAAAAGGGTCCATTTTGGGATTCTTGTCTTAAACAATCTCGATTTTAACTTTTGTTCATATGCCCACACAAAGGTGAGTGAGAAAATACAAATAAATGGTAGGGGGAAAAGGTGAAGAAATATAAAGGAAAGAGGCAAAAATTCCATGCATTTTCATAGACTAAAGTTAATAAAATAAAACATTGATATGCAGTTAAAGAAATGAATTGGAACCATGTAAATGGTCCACAAAGGAGAAAAATTAACAAAGAGCAAAGGATCCATCTTTTTAAATGTTCTAAAAAGATTGTATCAACCCTTTGTATAATTTAAAGTATAGAGTGAAAGTAATTGGGTAGTGATGAATGTTATTAATTTTTTTTTTGATTGAGCTAAAGGTGTTTATAAAGTAGTATATGTTCTAAGTACTCTCAACTATTTGACAATGAACGTGCAATCAGCCTTGCAGCCGCTAATGCTCGAACCTGTGACCTCTAGGAACAATAACAATTCCTTTAACTACTGAGGTAAGTTGGTTCGTGATATTTTTTTAATAGTCCAGAGTGATTACGAGATAATATATTTATATAATATTTCTTAATTATTGGCAACACACTCACACTCATTCTACAGACACAACTACTCGAACCCAAAAGCTCTAGAGAAAATAACACTCCCTTTGATAATTGAGATCACTTGATGAGTTCATAAATATTAAAATTTTAAATATTGATGGAATGTTAAAATTTCTAAATTGAGTTATTGGGAAATTTTAAAGTTTTTTCAATGCATCCTGAATTTAAACAAAAATAAATCATTTCATGAAATATTAACGTGTCTTCAATTACATCCTACAATTTTTATTTTATCTTATAACAAAATCGAAAAGATCAAATATTGAAAAGAGAAAGACATAAACATTAAAATATGATTTCTTTTTCTCAAAATATCTTTGTATTCGATAGGAAATGTTAAACAAATAAAAGTAATCTTATTAAAGGGAGAACAATAAAAATGATAATAAATTTTTTTTGTTGATGTATTTTGATAAGAAAGATAAAAAAAATTATCAAATGATTAGTAGGATTAAAAATAGAAAAACATTTTTAAAAAAAATACATATTTAGCTTTCATTTGTTAATTAATTTTGAAGGTTTTGTTTTTGTCGTAGAAATCTCTGATACATAGATTATATAAACTTAATTTACAAATCAATCTGATTAATTATCATAAAATTTATTTACAATTTAAGTTCAAATAAACAAAATTATATAAACTTTAGTTTATACAATATGTGAATAAAAAAATTACTCTTTTATTATAATTATGGAAAATTATCAGCTTTCAAAGTTTATATATTTTATTAATTTTATCCTTATTCTTTATTATAGTTAAATTTGACCATTAATCATTAAAAATATTAAATTTAAAATTTCAGAAAATCAAATCTATTTTTGATTTAAAATAAATCTATTATAATGATTAGTCAGGACGAAGTATTACGAAACGAGATGGCAACCAAAAAAATATTAATATTATTATAATGATAGTGCTTTGGCATCTCGCTTCTTCTTTATTCTGTCACTACTCGCAACACCAAAACGACATCGCTTCCTCTTTGAACCTCCCACGATGAGCTGATTCCTCAACCACAACTCAAAATTGGAAAATCATTTGGTCTTCCTACCACAACTTCCAAAGCTAAAGCGGTCGACACCATAGAAAGATGGGCAAAGATCTGAGCGACGAGCATGTTTCCTCTATGAAGGAGGCTTTCACTCTCTTCGATTCCGACGGCGACGGCAAGATCGCTCCATCGGAGCTGGGGATCTTAATGAGATCACTGGGTGGGAACCCCACTCAAGCCCAACTCAAAGCCATTGTCGCCGAAGAGAAACTGACAGCGCCCTTCGATTTCCCTCTCTTCTTGCAACTCATGGCAAAGCACATGAAGGCTGAGCCGTTCGATAGGCAGCTACGCGATGCCTTCAAGGTACTGGATAAGGAGTCCACCGGGTCTGTCTCCGTGGCGGATCTGAGACATATATTGACAAGCATCGGGGAGAAACTCGAACCCTCAGAGTTCGACGAGTGGATCCGGGAAGTGGATGTCGGGTCGGATGGGAAGATCCGTTACGAGGATTTTATTGCCAGGATGGTTGCCAAGTGAGAAAGATGCTTTAATTTTGTGCTTTTTTTCTATTTATGAGGAGTTAGGGTTTGTTTGGGTTTTGATGTGGTTGAGGATAGTGTATTTTGGTTGTTTGTTTCCATGGAATCACTACAAGTAGTGCTAACTCTCTTAATTACCCAGTTTGATTATGTAATATTATGTTACTAATAAATATTATTTGTGTTTGATCTGATTCCAACAAGCAATTTTGTTAACAACATAGATATATGATCTTCGGAGATCAAAGTCGTGACCGGGGTGAATTTAAAATTTTATGTTAATAGGCATAAAACTTTTAATAAAAATTGAGTTTAATATAAAAATAAGTATTTAAATTATTAGTATATTTTTTATTTATGTATTTAAATTATTTTTCGGTCAATTTATGTACTACAAATTAGGGATGGCAAAAAAACCCGAACCCGACGGGGAAAACCGAAAACCGAATTAAACGGGTCGGGTTCGGGGATGATAAACGGGGACGGGGAAAACCCATTTATTTTAAACGGGGACGGGGACGGGTTTGGTAATCCCCGCCCCGATTACCCGATTACCCGCCCCGATACCCGACCCGATAAATATTAAAAATAATTATTTATATATATATAATATTAATAAATTTAATTTAAATAAAAAATATATATTTATATATTTAATTTAAATATATATATACCCGACCCGATTCTCGGCCCAATACCCGGCCCAATACCCGTTTAAATAACCGTTTATGCTAAACGGGGATACCCGTTTCCCCGCGGTTTTCCCCGATTACCCGACGGGGATCCCCGTTTAAATCCCCGCGGTTTTTTAAACGGGGACGGGTACCGGTTTTTTAAACGGGGACGGGGGGACCAATACCCGGCCCGAACCCGGCCCGTTGCCATCCCTACTACAAACGTTATTATTTTAGCTTAATATTACAAAATTTTGTTATACGACACATGTTACTTTTATATAATTTTAATTTTTTTAATTTAAAATATAAAAATATGAAAACCCTAGTTTTGATCTTTATACCTATCTCGATCGCCGCCTTTTTTTTGTTGTTGTTGCCATCAAACGCATCTACCTTTGATCGGGCCTCCACCTTTCAACCAACTGCCCAATGAATAGCCATCGACGAACTTCAATCGCAATTTAAATCTGACGAATGGCAAGGAAAAATCATGTCATTTGTTCGATCCTACAGGGACCGACAACGTGATCGACAACAAGGATGACGACACCCGAAAAGGAAGATGGCAATGGTGATATCAGCGTCGGTGGTCATGGCTGACGAGAAAAAATTAGGGTTATGGTTAGGGATAATTTTAAGGATTTGAGTTGTTTTTTGTTGTAATTTTAAAGAAAATATATATTTTTTTAAAATATAATAATTTTTAAGTTTTTTCATTTTTTTTAAAATTATATAAATACGACACATGTCAGTTAACGAAAAATTTTAACGACCGTTACCGACGAAGCACATAAAATGGTAACGTTAGTAATGTTTAATAAAAAAACGAATTTTTCAAAGAATACATCCAACACTATCAATAATACCTAAAATGCTTTCATTACATACCCATGATTTTAGGGAATAGTAGAGTGAATGTATTGCACAAATGAGGGAAAGTTTCAAATGCACTCATAAACATGTTTCATTTCATCTTCACTTTTCAAAGGGTATGTTAACCATAATAACCAACGACGTGGTAGACCCATGCTTTTGCACTAAATCAAAATTTCAGTCAAAAAGATGAAATTGGGGAACTATAATTCAATCGAATTTTGAAATAGTGGATGAAATATGTTTGTACGCACACCCCATTGTAAGCAAACAACTTACATACATTGTAGTGATGGTATAGGGTTAAAAAAATTACTTAACGTTTGACTAAATAATTATTGATATAATGTAAAAAAAATCTAACATTTGATTAAATAGTTATTTTGACTTCTAATCTTTATTTTGAAGCATTTTGATCTAAACGTTTTATTTTGGAACAAAAAAACCCTCTATAGATAGAAATTATTAGTTAACAAATGATTAACATTCTAAATAAAAGGGCTTTTAAAGATGAAACATTGAGGTCAAATGCTCTAAAAAAATAAGAATAAGGGTCAAAGTTACTATTTGATCAAACATTAGGTGCTTTTTTGTCCTAAAATAAAATGTCAGAGAGCCAAAATACTCTAAAAAAGAATGTGTCAAGATGATCATCTTAGTAAACTTTGAGGACTAATTTTGACACTATGTCATACCATCTTTTTTGAAGCATTTTAATTACCGTGTTTTATTTAAGATAAAAAGATTTTTAATATTATTTAGCTCCTATTCCTTTTTCTTTTTAGCATTTTGACTCTAAACGTTTATTTTTTTTAGAGAGAATGAATTTTATTTTGAATTATTAATTATTTATTTACTAATGATTTAAAAAATCACCAATTATATGATTGCAGATCCACCTTAACTGTTTACATTTCTAAATCAATAGAACCAAGTTAACTTTATTTGTATAACATCTAGTTTACTTAAACATAAACTTTACTTACTAAGACAAACTAATGACTATATAAGTTAATATATGTCCCTACAGATATGATTGTTCGAATCTGAAACAATATTTTCTTTTATTATTAAGGTCACTTAATAAATTCAATAAGACGTATCATTTCAACAAAAATAACGGGGGTGCAACCAACACTGCATGAAGCAAGTTAACATCCTAAGAACACTTTCATATTTACATGCAATAAATGGTAAAGATCATGTAAGGAGAAAATTTGGGAGATAATTGCAAGAGGTACACAAAATTCATGGATATAATGATATTGATTAAAATCAATTTCCAAGAAAATATGTATAGCAAGCGTATGCGAAAGCATAATGGATATGCATTTCCTTTGGCCCAAGAAAAGTACACATCCCAAGCAATTGGTTAATTTCAAGGGAATTGAGTTAGAACCCACCAAACGATCTTAATAGTTAAAGATTACAGATTCGAATAGTATTACTTAATACTTATAGGGTGTGTATGTATTGTCAAAAAGAAAAAGATGTTACTTTTTATTATAGCAAGATGATATCCTTTCGTTAAGAACTAAATCAATGGGCATGTAGTAGAGATCATGACAACTGTGCATAGAAAATGGGAATGACTTTTATTCCTCTCAAAAAATTTAATTTAATAGTATTTTAAATCCTTATCGGTTTAAATTTAAATAAAATTAGACTTTTGTTCCTTCCATTTTTTGGATTAATTACGTAATAAATCCCTATTAATTTAAATTTAGATATCTTATCTCTCTCAAATATTTGATCCTAGCAATGTAAAAGTTATATGGAAAAAAAAGAGAGATATCAAACAAACTTAATTATTTCACTTGTCTAAATAAATAATTATTTGAAGTGAGATATCAAATCCTAAGAAAAAATCGCTTCCAATACTGCATGAGATTTTTTCAAAGGATAGAAGAGAGGTGAATAGGAGAAAAGTGATATTTTTTTAACAGTATGAGATTATTATAATGCAGTATCTGTTTAAAAAAAATTTTAATTATTGATAACGTACACACCCTGTAGACACAATTGTTTGAACTCAGAATTTTTAAAAAGATTAGTGCTAATTCTAACCACTAAAAACCGTTTGATGAGTTCAAGAGAAAAATGATGTTATTTATTATTGGGCCTCAAAACACGTAAGCCCATGTAAAAGTCAGATACGCCCAGTCTTCCTCTGAAACTTGCTATATTTTGTCTATGGAACTTAGAATGTAGCTTAACCAATGGCATCTTTGGTTTGGTTTGGTTTGTTTTGCTTTACCCGTGATATTTACTGCCCATCCATCTCTTGATTCTTGTGATAAGAGGTTTAAATTTTAGGGTAAATTATGTATTTAATCGTTTATTTATTTTTATAGTTTCGTTGTCACTTAATTTTTTTTAAATTATGCAAAACATTATGTTTTTTTTCTGTTTTCGTCATCCATCATTAGAAATATAAAAAATATTATTGACGTGATAATTTTTTCAATGATGATATAACGTTACTTTATAATGACATGTTAACAACACAATTATTTTTTTAATAACGTTGATAAAAATGGAAACAAAACATAAATTAAATATAATTGTTAAAAAAATAATTAAATGATTAAATATATAATTTCTATAAATTTTAATATTATAGTCACTTTTATGATTATTCTCTATAATATCCAATCCGATTAATAAACGGTAAACCTACCCATAAAAATGATTCGAGCACCATAAATAATTTTAGGGTTGCGTTGAATATAAAATAGTTAAAAATTATATTTTCAGTATCTATCTAGGGTGTAAGCCTATTGTTTTTCAGTCGAAAGCATAAAGATTGTTTTGGATTTTAGGTTTATTCAAAGGTGACAATCTCCCCATTTCTTTTTTACCCAGTTCTTCTTGTTTCGATACCTAAAATTCTCAATCATGATTCACAAGTTTCCTAGCATCATTAACTCGATTCAATCGTCAAGAATTAAAACCCTAAACCCATTTATCTCCCTGTCTAGATTTTATCATTTCAAGCCAAAAAAGGATTTTGATTCTTCAAACCAACCTTCAATTCATTCATCAAGAACCGCCCAAAACAATGTTGCAATATTCTGGGATTTGGATAACAAGCCCCCAAATTCATTCCCTCCATTTGAAGCGGCTGTAAAGTTGAAAACAGCAGCTTCTTCATTCGGGGTTGTTCGGTCCATGGTGGCCTATGCTAATCAGCATTCGTTTACCCACGTACCCAAAGTTGTTCGGGAGCAGAAAAGAGAGAGGAAATTGTTGAACCAGTTGGAAAACAAAGGTGTGATCAAGTCAATTGAACCATATATTTGTAAAGTCTGTGGGAGAAGATTCTACACTAATGAGAAGCTTGTCAATCATTTTAAGCAAATTCATGAGCGTGAACACCAGAAGAGGGTGAATCAAATAGAATCTGCTAGAGGGAGTAGAAGGGTGAAATTGGTGGGTAAGTATTCAATGAAAATGGACAAGTATAGAGCTGCGGCTAGGGATGTTTTGACTCCCAAAGTTGGGTATGGTTTAGCTGATGAGTTGAAAAGGTCAGGATTTTGGGTTGGGACTGTTTCGAATAGGCCACAAGCCGCAGATATTGCGTTGAGGGATCACATGGTGGATGTGATGGATAGGAGGGAAGCCGAGTGTTTGGTGCTTGTGTCCGATGATTCGGATTTCGTTGGTGTGTTGAAGGAGGCAAAATTGAGGTGCTTGAAGACTGTGGTTGTGGGGGATGTCAATGATGGTGCACTGAAAAGAGTTGCAGATGCCGGGTTTTCTTGGACGGAAATATTGATCGGAAAGGCTAAGAAGGAGGCTGTATCCGTTGTGGGGAAGTGGAAAGACCGGGATATCTTGAAGAGACTGGAGTGGACTTATAATCCAGAGGTGGAGAGGAAGTTATATGGATCTGAAGATACAATGCTTGACGATGAGAGTGAAGATCAGGATTTTGAATGTACTGATTATATGCATAAGAAAGATTCTGCTGCATGGTGGGAGTTGGACACTGAATCTGATGCTGATCCTTCGGAGTTGCAATAGTAATGCAGATGCTGCCTTCAAATTCTTAGCTTACAAAGCATGGAAAAAGTAACAGAGCTGAAGCATTACATTCAGTCATCAACTTTGATACTATAATGTTTGCTTGGTTCTGGAACCAAGTTGGATCCTTGAGATGCAGTTCAAATGATTCCTTTCTGTCGTCAGGGTAAAAAGCGTGTAACTTTCTTAAGATTAATTCTTTTGATCTTATTTTGCAATGAATCATTCATGTAATCTTCAATTTTACTACCTCACTAGAGGGCCTAATCCATTTCTTACATAGATGAGAGAGAGAGAGAGAGATGTCACAATGATGCAATGTAACGCCAAATTTTGGTGAATATTAACATTCTTAGGAAATGGATCTTAAGGTGGGCGATTAGATACATAGAGAATCATGGCAACTGCTGTATTTCCTGTGGTTTTAACGTGTTCATCCGTATAACAGCAATGGATATTAAATACTCCTATTAATGTTACCCATTCTTTGCTAGGATGATGATGATGATGTTGTTTTGCAGTTAAAATAAATAGCCTCCTCTCTTCATTTCTTAAGCGACCACATATAAGGGAATGATATTTCACACAATTCTTTGCGCGTTAAATATTGTAATGCCAGGCGTTCAATATTACAAGTTCCTAGCTTACATAACTCAGATTTTTGCGCGTTAACCAACCCTCTGCAATGCTTTGAGATAAGATAATTTTTATAACACAGACACACACATATAGATAGATAGATGAATATACAATACTGTAATGCCAGTTTTAGTCAGAAGAATACAATGTATACTATGCACTATGCAAATGAAAATAATTTGACCTGCATGGCAATGGATACTATAATAATATATACTCCCATATAGAATAACAACAAGACCTATACACATCTGAGTAACAAAGGAGAAGAAACACATCATGTTAGTAACAAGACCGAAATACAAATTCTCCACATTTGCTTTTGTGCATTTTGGCAATGAGGAAAGTCTAAATAGGGCGATAGCAAAACTGAATAGCTCGATGATTGATGGTTGGAGGATTTATGTTGGTACTGCAAGATACAAGGATGCTCGGGTAAGGTTAGTAGGGAAGAACACTTCATTGGTGATGACTTCAAGGCCGAACACAGAAGATTATCAAGGTCCAAAGGGAAAGTTGTTATTAACAGGAGTGTAAGGGATGAAAGATCTTACAAGGATGCCTTACTGTCTGATAGATTGAAGTGTAATGCATCGGACCATAAGGAATTGTCAAATGATGGTTTCAACAGGAGGACATGAATAAAAAATATTTTGGAAATGCATATTCCTTCTGAGAGTTCCACTTGGGTGAAGAGATCATTAACGGGAATCATCAAACATACTTTTGAGTTCGAATTAGTCCAGAAGGCTTTACTTAATGAAGGTTTTGATGTCCAAATTACCAAATGGGGTTACGTCTGGAATTCTTGTGTTGTTACTTTTAAGTCGACTGAAGAAATTATGGATGTATGGTTGATGAAAAAAGAAGAGTTGTTTTTCTGGTTCGATAGGTTGGCACCCTTATTGAATGATGATGGTGTCCCAATGGCTTTTTGCCTTGTTCATCTGTTTGGGGTTCCATTGTTATGTTGGCAAAATTCTTTTTTCGAACGGTTAACAGGAAGGTGGGGAAGGGTTAAAGATATTCATGAAGATACAGTTAACAGAGAAGACCTCTCGATGGCGAAGATCTTGATCAGGGTGGCGAGCCCTTATGACGTTCCTGAGGAGATAACACTTGGAACCTATGGTAGGTCTTTCAAAGTTAAGATTAAGCTGGGTTCGGTGCTTGAGAATTCTTCAACTTTCTCTAGCAAGTCGCCGGTGGGAGGTTCCGACGTAAAATTTGGTGAGAAAATTTCTGGAGAGGTAGATGAAAGTAGTCTGTCAGAAAGCATGGAAAGTGCTGAACATTCAGTAGAAAACAACAGACAAAAGGTAGACACATGGTTTGACCAAGGAGCATACAAGGGTTTGGTTGGAGTAGGTGAGGAAATTCAACTCCAAATGCTTAACAAAGTTGGGAAAAGCATTAATTGTGAGATGCCAGCGTGTCAGGATCTTGGGACAAACAATTTCGGTGAATAAGCGGGTTTGGGATGCAAATTTTCAAATTTATGGGCTGATGGGTCTGTTGCCCAATCAACAGAAAATGGGCAGCCTGGTTCTCCATCTCTAAAAATTATTCCAGCTGGGCCAGTTGTTAAGTTGGATAAGTTTGGGAAAATGGACCAGAAGCAGTTTCTGGTTGAATCTGCCAACACAGAGGAAGATAAAAATGGAGGCCTGCCACACTCTTGTTTGACAAAGCGTACTGGAGGAATGGAACCAGAATCAGAGTTAAAGTTGATTGACTCTAATTTATATTATGGAAAAAGGATTTCAAGGGGAAGAACGTTTGATCGATCCAACTCAGCATTGACTACAAAAAGTGAGCCGTTGGAAAAAAGAACTGCTAGATACAAAAGGGTTTATAAGAGATCCAGTGAGAGAAGATATTGGTTCGAGAATGACGAAATTATAATTCCACGTGAAGTGGAATCTTTAGAAAGGTTCAATGGGAAGATTCAGTATCCTAATTCAGTTTTGCCAGTCAGTGCAGTTGCAGAAGCTAATTTGGCAGGTTGTATGGAGCCTACTTTGGAGAGGCAAGTTGTTGACAGCAGTTTGCATCATTCGTGTGAAGGGTGGCACTCAGAAGGAGATAGTCATATTTTCAACTCTAAGTCCTTTAATAGAAGAGCCAAAAGATTGTTGACAAGGGATGCATTGGATCAAGTTAGCATTGAAACAGTTTCTTCTTTAGCTTTTGCTGTTCTTTTAGATAAAGCAATAGCTACTTGGGAAATCAGTAATATATTGGGTGTGTCTTTCAAGGATGGGAAATCAAATTTTTTTGAAAAAATTATAAAGTTGGAGGATGATTTGAGGATGGTTTGATTTTCTGTTTTCTTGGGTTTTCTGGTATTTTTTTTTGAATTATGATGAAAATTCAGTTAGCCATTATTACATGGAACATTAGGGGAAACACAGAGCTACTCAAAATCTAGTTTTAAAGAAAGGCCCTATACTTCTTATGTTGCAAGAAACAAATTGGAGAAGGTTCAGAGACAATTTCTCAAGAGTGGTTTGAATACTCTTCAAGGGTTTGTAAAATCTCCAGCAGTGGGTTCTTCTGGAGGGTTACTGAGTTATTAGGATGAGTCTACTTTTGAAGTGGATAATCTTATTATAAACAAAAGGTTTATTGCAGTTTTTTGGGAAATTTCGAATTTCAAAATTTAGGTATGGTTTTATTAATGTTTATGGGCCTAGTGTTGAAGAAGAAAAAGCAAGCTTCTTTGAAGAGTTAGCTGTTTTTATTTGTGGACAGAATATTCCTTTATGTGTGGGAGATGATTTTAATGTGCATCTTTCAGAAGAAGAGAAGGTGGGGAGAGCTACAAACAGAAGTTCTATAAGGATTTTCAGTCACTTTCTTCAACATACAGGTTTAATTGATTTACCTTTACATGGGGGCAGATTCACTTGGGGTATTAACCAGGATTTACCCACCTTTGTTAGACTGGACAGGTTCTTAGTTAATGTTCATTTCCTAGAAGCATTTCTTGATGTTACGCAATATTTGTTATCAAGGTCGGTGTCAGATCACAATGCCATTTTTCTTGAGAATGAGGGGGTTAGTTGGGGTAAGCAACCTTTCAGACTATTTAATTATTTGATGAAGGCTTTCAGAATTTAGTTGATTCTATTGTTAAAGAATGTAAGACTGAACAGAGGATAGCAGGAATTCTATCTATCCTGAAAACTACTAAACTAGCGATCAAAAATTGGGCGGGAAAGAGAGACCAATTTCCTTCTGTAGAGATTGCAGAATTAAAAAAAAAAGATTCAATTGGAAGAGGAAAAGTTACAGCAGCTGCAAGTTTCAAATGGTTGTGACAGGGGAGCAGAATTGATTACTATGAGGTCAGAATTATGGAGACTGTATAAGATTGAAGAACATATATGGTTTCAAAAATCAAGATCAAGATGGGTAGAAGTAGGGGACCGCAATACAAGTTTTTTTCACACTTGTGCTTCGATTAGGAGCAAAAGGAATTTCATGAGTGCTTTGAATGTCAATGGAGAGATCACTCAAGATCCATCTGTCATCAAAGCTAGTGTCAAGGATCATTTTTTTGGAATTTATAACTCAAGTTCAACCTTGGAAGTGGAAGATATGAAGCTGAATTTTTCCAAAATTTCAGTAGAGCAAAGTGATATTCTGGAAAAAGAATTTACGGAGGAAGAAATTTGGGAGGCTCTACAATCGTGTGATAGCAACAAAACTCTCGGGCCGGATGGTTTTAATATGGGTTTTTTCAAGAGATTTTGGTATGTTCTTAAGGTCGAAATTCTAAAATTCTTTCATAACTTTTATTTGGGGAAAGATTGGGAACATGGAGTAAATCATACTTTCATTACTCTTATTCCCAAGGTGGCTAATATTGGTGGATTAGATGATTATAGACCTATAAGCCTTGTAGGAGGCTTATACAAGATCATTTCTAAATGTTTATCGAGGAGATTAAGGAATTGCATTTCTGATTTAATAAGTCCTATGCAGTTTGCTTTCATTCCAGGTCGTCAAATACTGAATTGTTCCCTAATAGCTAATGAGGGGGTTGATTTTTGGAGGAAAAATGGACTTAAAGGATGTGTGTTTAAAGTTGATTTTAGGAAGGCTTATGATACTGCGGACTGGTCTATTCTGTTTAAGATTATGGAGAAAATGGGATTTAGCTTCAAATGGAGGAGTTGGATAAAACAATGTGTAACAACGGCTTCAATTTCAGTTTTGATAAATGGGGTCCCTTCTTAGGAATTTTCTATGGCAAGGGGTCTTCGTCAGGGCTGTTCTTTATCTCCTTTGCTTTTTAACTTAGTTTGGGAGCTCCTAAATTTACTGCTTCTAAAGGCATTCTCTGAAGGTTTGTTTTGTGGACTACTGATTGGGAGGAATTAGTCTGTTTTCAATCTATACATCTGCAATTTGC